AGTCTTTGTAATACTTTATAATGAGATGAGAGTGACCATGATAATTGTTTATACATACAGAGGTTTGCTCATTTTGATATATATACATGCTTAATACATATACATGTTTTGATACATATACATGGTTAATATGCAAAGGAGTCTTTGAACTTAAAGATGAGTTATGTACCTTTCTTCTGCTAAAATACAGCTAGTCCAATTTTCTTAACCTCTGTTTTTCTTTGTGATAAGTAGCTATCAGTAGTATAAAACCTAGTGTAAATTTTCTGAAAATTCTGTTGATTTAAAGTAAAGATGACATTTTAACCTAGTGAGAAAGAAACTTTTCTGAAAGAAACTTTGCTGTGGGGAGATGATTTTGAAATCAGATTCTGGGAAATATTTCTATTGTTATGGGATTTCTTGCCAAAAACAATCTGTCTCACCTAGAAAAACTCTAATATTAACATTTAAAATATTTGGAAACAGTTTTCCTGGATTTTGAATTCATTTAATAAAAATGTATAAAAACTAAACTTTCCAGTGAGTTTATAAACTGATTGATAGCAGGAAAATAGAAATTTGCCAGATGAATTTTTGATAAAAACTTTTGCATAATTTGTAGATGGGAAAGGATAATATACCGATTAGCTCAGTTAAGCCATCATGTACTCCTCCTATTTGGATCTACATGTAAGATCTTTTTTTTGCATATCATTCTTCAAGTTTTGATTTCCTTCCCTAATCTATTTATTTTTTCAGAGACCTCAGGTAGTTGCTTTTTGTATTTTGTCTAGAGTTTTCAGTTGTAATCAGTGGGAGAGAAAGATTATACAAGTAAAATTAAGAAAGCCTGGTTACAAAAAGGTGGAAGCCAACCAGAAAGACAACGTATTAATGATGAAAATAATAAATTGTAATAGATGGCCCCAGAGTTGAGTGAATACATTTGATGTGAAAAGCCATGGAAAGGAACCATAGAAATATAGTATAGGCAGATAGAGCATTTGAATATTGGCATAAGGCAGGCTAGAAATGAATGGTTTGGAAATACAGGCAGTGTGTGTGATGTACATATAATTCCATCTTACAGTGAAGCTGAAGTAATGAATAAGAATATGAATAATAAGCATAATGAATTAAGAATTGGATTTATTTTGATCATTGCTTTGATTTTAATAAAACATAACATGTAGCTTCTATTTCAATTGTTCTGTCAGTACATACCATAAAATAAACAAAGTGGAAGAATTCTAAATAGGAATGACAAGTTGGAGGTTGCTTGTCTGTTAATAGATCTATAGATAAACTAGGTTTAACATACTAAATTGAAAATGATGCATCAGAAAAGTGATTTAAAGGAATAGCATGGTTTCAGACATTGTTTTCTAGGCCTACAATCAGTGCCATCATCCAAGAAGAGAGAGATTTATTATAACAAATTAAAATGGTTATAACATATTTTCAAGAAAATACATTTTGTGTATAGCTTCTGGGCTTTTTCACTATTATAAATTCAGGCATGGCTTGATCTTTTCTCAGCCTAGTGGGAACACATCTGGAAATACTATGCATCACTAAAACCTTTACAGGAATTTTGCATGCTTTGAAATATCGCATATACAATTATAACATTCACTTAATATTCACTGCATATTAAACTAAGATGGCACTGATGGATGTATTATCATCTGTGTTAATAATCTACAGATGAAAGACTCCCTCAGTTCAAGATGTAGTTCTTACCTCTTAATTGTTCATCAGGCCAGTGGTCTACTGTGCTCATAGGAGGAAAACCAAAGCAGTGCGATTAAAATTGGAACCACTATCTGAAATAACCACACCCTTTCCTTTCTTGTATTATTAAATGGCAAGATCTTCTGAAACTTAACGATAGTTTCAGTGGTTAGAGAATTATTTTGGGCCTAACACTATTTAAAGAACTCTAAACTTGGAGTCAAATCACTTGGCTCTAGTACCAGCAGTGTTGTTGATGTACAGTGTCAACATGGTCAAGTCCCATAAGCTTCCCATAATAAATGTGTACTGGTTCAATTTGGCTTAATCACAAATGATTCAGTTTCCACATACATATATAAACCATAGATGGTTTATTTAGCTTTAAAAATAGGGCTATAGTAGTGTAATCAGATGACCTAGAAAGGCTCGTCAGCGCTTGCTGGAGGCTGTGTGGCAAACCAGAGGCACTGTCATCAGCCCAAGGAGTTTGTGAGCCAGTATACTCTGTCCAGTAAGAGAAGCTGGAGATGCATCAAGGATCTCTCAGCCCCTAGCAGCTCTCCTCCAGGTTGCACAGCCATCCTTTATCTTCCTTTTGGGTGTATAACAAATGTATACTTATAAGTGTAATAAATATCTATGCACAAATGTGCAGAATGAAGAGATTTCAATTTCACAAGATGTATATTAAACTCTGACTGAATATAAGTAAAGATTCCCTTAACTAACCTTACTTTAACCCATGCACTCCAGTCCTGTCATTTCCTCTATGAGTCCCATCCGACTATGCCTGCGGCATGCTCAGCAATTACACATCAAGCCAATGGTTTGGGTATGGCAGTACACTTTCGTCCCTACTATCGCTGAGTTGTGTGTTTACCAATAATCAATTATGCTTATTTCTAAAACTTTTATTACATTTGTGGATCCCGAGTGACGTGAGGACCAGTTATTGCTCCTGATCTCACTGGGTAAGAGGGCTTCCTTATATGTAACAGTTGAACACAGTACTTAAGTTGAACTGTTGAAGTTGAACCTGCTTACACCTTTGGAAAACTGGAGGAGGGTGGAGTTTCAGTTTGGGCATCGTCTCCATGTGTAATCTGCTAATTCCTCTGAGGCTCCCCTTCCTTACCTGTGTTTTTCCATCTTATAATTGAGAATGATGATTCTTTAAGTTTATAGAAAAGGGTAAATTTAAACAAGATATGGGTATGAAACGCTGGAAATAAGTGTGCTATATTATAGATGCTATAGTCTTATATATAATGGAGGGGTTTGTGAACCTGGTTTAAGAAAATACTCAACTTTTCTGAGACTCAGGTTTTATGTGTAAAATCAGATAACTGTTTTGCTTTTCTTATTTGGCATTTTGAAACACTGTGATTTGAGGAGTTTCCCAAACTGAATAATCTAAATGAGTGTATGTGAAATGTATGGTCATATGGCATAGCAGACATTAAATGTTCCTTTTCTCTGTCAATTTTAAAACTCTTTGTCACAGATACAAAGAGGAAAACTTTTGTATGCTACACATTTATTCACTTGATGTGGTAGGTGGGGGGGAGATCATTTGCAATGAAACAGAGTAGGAAGGATATAGCATTTGCTGCTGTGAACTTCTGTGGTTTCTGAAGTTAGTTCTTCCATTTAAGTGCCAACTGGTATTGCCATGTCTTTGGGATTTGATGTTTAATTTTATATGGCCCTGGGTACTGACTTTGGATGTGTGGCTAGCAACTTGAGGGAGAGGAACCAGGTGAAGGTTGTAAAAAGCATAAATAGTTTATTGTGGTCATCCTAGCCCAAGTAGTCTTTCAAAAGTAGGTCTGAGTAACATATGACTTCTGTTTTACCGTACAGAGATGGGAATAAAAAGGTACTTATCTTAATGTACTGTTTTATCTTTGTGTTTAAAAATGTTTCATCTTCCTCTATTTGTTTGTTTCTCCAGCCTCTGTTCCATCCCTGACCCATCTTTGTCGTTTGGTAATTCGGTCCAGTTTAAAACCAGAACATTTACAATATGACAGTTTTATCTGTCAGTTACCACTTCCCAGAAGTCTACATAATTATTTGCTCTACGCTGAGGTTCTGAGGATGAATGAAGTTCCAGAACTGGCAGTTATCCAAGATGGAGAACTCAGTGAAGCTACTTAACACAGCTCATGTATTACTCTGAAAATCACCAAGACAAAGAGCCATGGAGTACAAATTCTTCTTGATTTTATAGTCGCAAAAGATGATTTTTGTTTGTGTGGGTGGTTAGGGTTTTGGGGTGAACGTTCACAACTTGTCTTCCTGGTAAAAAAAATGTAACTTCATTTATGTTACTTTATTGCAGTTTTATCACTGGTACATTTCATGTTGTAATATTCATTTCCTAACCTTTTTTCTGCTTTATTCTGTTAATGAACTGTGATGCTACTTCTAGTGATAGACATGGCATGTTCCATGACTTTGTGCTTACCTAGGGCTAGGAGCTTATAATGGAATGCATAAAACTTCACTGAAAGTGCACACATAGTGGATTTGAATGTATTATTATTATTATTTTATTTGAGGTTGAATGTCTCTTATGTTAATAGAAGAATTATCTTTTATTCCATTCTCATATCTTAATTCAGTCACTTTTATGAATGCTGTTCATTGGCTTTTCATAGGTAAACTCAGGGGAGAATTTTTTTTTTTTAAAGATAGAAAATGAATCATTTTGCTGTTATTTTTTTTCCCCCCAGTTTCTTCATATTGTCTTAAAAAAGATTCCTTTTCTGCAAAGGCAAGAACGGACCTAAACTCAAAGATATGCTTAGCCAAAAAAATATTAGCTTGCTATTGAGATAAATGAGCGTTTTGCTACATTAGAATACTAATCAGGAGACTGGGAGGGGCAATTCTGTGGTCCCATCTTTAAAGAAAGAAAGGTATCTATGCCTGAGTCACTTCAGTATCAAATAAATCATTAAAGCTTCTTCATTCAGCCTCCAATTCAGAGGCCCACTTTCATCCTATGAAGCAATGGCTGCCAGTTTTATTAATATTAGTGTTTTCTCTTATTATCTAGATAGGTTACCATATAGTATATGAAATTTAGACCTCAGAATCCTATGTTAATGAGACACTGCCTTATTGGTTTTACAATTAATCTTTCTGAGTCTGGAGTCAGGACTAAATACTGGATCAAGTGACTATGATAAGAGTCTATGAGGACCAAATTTGAGAAGAAGTTCTGAAAGCATTACTGAGAGACAGCTAGAGATGAGGTCCAAAGGAGGGCATGTCTTCTGTCCTACTGGAGTCCTGTGGCTTAAAATAGATGGGAGTGGGTCAGCCAGGTCCACCTCTGATAGGCCGTGGCTGTGAGGAAGCAGTGAGGAAGGTGGACCAAAGGAAGGAGGCATCGTAGGTCTAGAGGGATGACTTGAGTTCAGTGTAGCTGAGAGCTGTATTTGCTCAGTTTGAATGTAGTTATACAGGCAGAAATAAGGGTACATAATGGAAAACCAGATGGACATTCTGATACTTAAAGAGATTCCAAGAATGTTTGTACTATGCAGTAAATTTTTTTTTTTTACTGTGCAGTAATTTCTAAATGTTGTCCTAATCTTTATTTTTCCAAACTCTTAAGTCTCTAATTTTTCACATAACCCATTTTTGTTAGGGCCAAATGTACATTTGAAGGTGAATCTTTTCATGTGTTTTTGTTCATGTTTAAGTATGTAATAAAAATTCAACTATCCATAACTTAGCTCTTGTTCTTAAAAATATGAAAATGATTCAGATGGCCAACAGGCACATGAAAAGATGCTCCACATCACTAATCATCAGAGAAATGCAAATTAAAACCACAATGAGATATCACCTCACACCAGTAAGGATGGCCAACATCCAAAAGACAAACAACAGCAAATGTTGGCGAGGGTGTAGAGAAAGGGGAACCCTCCTACACTGCTGATGGGAATGTAAACTAGTTCAACCATTGTGGAAAATAGTATGGAGGTTCCTCAAAAAATTCAAAATAGAAATACCATTTGACCAGGAATTCCACTCCTAGGAATTTACCCTAAGAATGCAGAAGCCCAATTTGAAAAAGACATATGCACCCCTATGTTTCTCACAGCACTATTTACAAAAGCCAAGATATGGAAGCAACCTAAATGTCCATCAGTAGATGAATGGATAAAGAATATGCGGTACATATACACAATGGAGTATTATTCAGCCATAAGAAGAAAACAAATCCTACCATTTGCAACAACATGGATGGAGCTAGAGGGTATTATGCTCAGTGAAATAAGCCAGGTGGAGAAAGACAAGTATCAAATGATTTCACTTATCTGTGAACTAAAACAACAAAGCAAGAACTGAAGGAACAAAACAGCAGCAGACTCACAGAACCCAAGAATGGACTAACTGTTACCAAGGAGAAAGGGACTGGGGAGGGTGGGTGGGAAGGGAGAGATAAGGCGGAAAACGGTGCATTATGATTAGCATACATAATGTGGTGGGGGAGGGGAACATGGGAAAGGCACTATATACAGAGAAGACAAGTAGTGATTCTATAGCATCTTACTATGCTGATGGACAGTGACTGTAATGGGGTATGTGCGGGGGACTTGATAATGGGGGAGTCTAGTAACCGTAGTGTTCAAGTAATTGTACATTAATGATATCAAAATAAAAAAATATAAAAATGAATATTTCAGAGACATTTAAAAGCCCTTAGTATTTAAAACAAATAATTTTATTTACTATGTACAATGTGTCATACAATAAAATACTATTTTTATGACTTATAGCAAGGACTCAGAAATCTAATCTAAATGTTGGTGAATTATAGTTAATAGCTCCAGATCAAAAGCTCCAGATCAAAATAATACATTTAGTTAGTTTGAACCTTAAGCCTTGCACTGCCATCACACTTAATATTCTCAGTTTAAAGTCACAGTGAGCCTAAGGAAGGACCCGATATAGTAGTTCTCTGCTGGACACAGATCATTATTTTTTTTTTTTTGGAGAGCAAGGCAGAGGCTTTTATTTAGAAAGGTAAGAGGACAGAGCTCCTGGTTTAGGCCAGGAGGGGAAAAGAGAACCCCCACAGATTATTTTTAATAATAATTGCCAGGAGTTGACCCTTTCTTGATCTTCCTTGATATCCTGTAGGTATATTTCCTGATATTCCTGTCATAAGATGTTTTTCTTTGATCATGTGCTGTAGTAGTGGTAATATTCTGAATGTTTGTTTTTTTTTAAATTTCCCTTTCCCTTTTGCCAAGTAGTGAGCACTTTGATGTGCAGCTTTCTGGTGATCCTACTTCACAATGATCAATTATGCTCCTCCTCTGTCCCATGAACACCTGTGACAGTGATAATTCTTGATAGGCAGCTTAAGTGTCATATTTGTGTTATATGACCTGTTGATATTTCTAATTTTAGACCTGTTCTTCCCGCCTATGTCCATCTTAAACCTATGTGAAAATTGTGATGTTTTATGTAGATCTTCAAGTATTGTGTTAGGTACAGTTTGAAGACATGAGTGTTTTTGATTGGTTACTTTACTATAATTCTATAATTTTGTTGGTCCTCTTAAATTTCTTACAAATAATAACTGTAATAAGAATGTAAATAACTGTCTTTTCTGGAACAGTGGATTTGATAGTTCCATTAGCATGGGATATAGAAAGCAGTTAAGAAAATCCATGTAAAAGTTTGCCTTTCACTTTTATACTCCTCTGTATTCTCAGAGGCATATTTCTCTAAATATATTTCTTGATTAGTCATAGAAATACTTGTTTGAAGAAGAACTCTTGGTACAATTTTTGCCAGCAGGCGCCTATGTACAAAGGCTTTGAGAATGGTTGAAGGGCTAGTAAAGTTGCTAGTAATGGGTCATTTTCAGTTTTATGATCAAGTGTTTTAGATACAACATTTGGGAAAGCCAGTAAAGTTACACACTGCCTTCTTCCAGGTTCATGAGTTCATCCTCTGTTTAAAGCAAATGGAAGCTAAGCCCACTGGCTTCATCNGAATCATTTTGCTGTTATTTTTTTTCCCCCCAGTTTCTTCATATTGTCTTAAAAAAGATTCCTTTTCTGCAAAGGCAAGAACGGACCTAAACTCAAAGATATGCTTAGCCAAAAAAATATTAGCTTGCTATTGAGATAAATGAGCATTTTGCTACATTAGAATACTAATCAGGAGACTGGGAGGGGCAATTCTGTGGTCCCATCTTTAAAGAAAGAAAGGTATCTATGCCTGAGTCACTTCAGTTTCAAATAAATCATTAAAGCTTCTTCATTCAGTCTCCAATTCAGAGGCCCACTTTCATCCTATGAAGCAATGGCTGCCAGTTTTATTAATATTAGTGTTTTCTCTTTTTATTATCTAGATAGGTTACCATATAGTATATGAAATTTAGACCTCAGAATCCTATGTTAATGAGACACTGCCTTATTGGTTTTACAATTAATCTTTCTGAGTCTGGAGTCAGGACTAAATACTGGATCAAGTGACTATGATAAGAGTCTATGAGGACCAAATTTGAGAAGAAGTTCTGAAAGCATTACTGAGAGACAGCTAGAGATGAGGTCCAAAGGAGGGCATGTCTTCTGTCCTACTGGAGTCCTGTGGCTTAAAATAGATGGGAGTGGGTCAGCCAGGTCCACCTCTGATAGGCCGTGGCTGTGAGGAAGCAGTGAGGAAGGTGGACCAAAGGAAGGAGGCATCGTAGGTCTAGAGGGATGACTTGAGTTCAGTGTAGCTGAGAGCTGTATTTGCTCAGTTTGAATGTAGTTATACAGGCAGAAATAAGGGTACATAATGGAAAACCAGATGGACATTCTGATACTTAAAGAGATTCCAAGAATGTTTGTACTATGCAGTAAATTTTTTTTTTTTACTGTGCAGTAATTTCTAAATGTTGTCCTAATCTTTATTTTTCCAAACTCTTAAGTCTCTAATTTTTCACATAACCCATTTTTGTTAGGGCCAAATGTACATTTGAAGGTGAATCTTTTCATGTGTTTTTGTTCATGTTTAAGTATGTAATAAAAATTCAACTATCCATAACTTAGCTCTTGTTCTTAAAAATATGAAAATGATTCAGATGGCCAACAGGCACATGAAAAGATGCTCCACATCACTAATCATCAGAGAAATGCAAATTAAAACCACAATGAGATATCACCTCACACCAGTAAGGATGGCCAACATCCAAAAGACAAACAACAGCAAATGTTGGCGAGGGTGTAGAGAAAGGGGAACCCTCCTACACTGCTGATGGGAATGTAAACTAGTTCAACCATTGTGGAAAATAGTATGGAGGTTCCTCAAAAAATTCAAAATAGAAATACCATTTGACCAGGAATTCCACTCCTAGGAATTTACCCTAAGAATGCAGAAGCTCAATTTGAAAAAGACATATGCACCCCTATGTTTCTCACAGCACTACTTACAAAAGCCAAGATATGGAAGCAACCTAAATGTCCATCAGTAGATGAATGGATAAAGAATATGCGGTACATATA